TTCTAGATTTTTTCATTTGTGAAGTACTAAAAAATACATATTTTCCCTCCATTTTCCTATCTTATTGATTGGTAAGAGAGTTTTAGTAAAGACATTAACCTTTTGTGATGGGACACCTGGGTGGCTGAGTGGGTTAAATATCTGCCTTTGGCTCAGGTCATGATCTCAGGGTCCTGGGATCGAGCCCCACCTGAGGCTCTCTGCTTCCTCTCCCCTTGACCCTTCCTCCTTGGTCATGTTTTCTCTTTCTCTGATAAATAAGTAAAATCTTAAAAAATTTATATTAATCCTTTGCATATATGTTAAAATGTATTTTTAAATTTTGTTTTATGTGTCAATGTGTGGTCAATTATGCAATCAATTTTATTAGTATTTTATTGATAGTTTCTAGCTTTAGTGTATGCTAAAGATCTTCCTTACCAAGATTATGATAATATTTTTTATTTTCTTCTAGTGCTTCAATAATTTTGTTCCATTTACTTCTTTTTTTGTTCATTATTTGATACACAGTTAATATACAATAAATCATAACTACTTAAAGTATACAATTGACAAGTTTTTATATATTTATAACCCATGAAACCAGCAACACAAGATGATGTGCATACCCAGCACCTCAAAAAGGTGTTTGGTGCCTCTCTGTAGTTCCTTCATCCCATTTCTTTTTCCACTACCCACCCACCAACAGTGACTGATTAGTTTTTTGTCACTGTAGATGCATTTTCTAGAATTTTCTATGATTGGAATAGTAAGTATGCATTCTTTTTTGTCTGGCTTCTTTAATTTAGCATAATTGTTTTGAAATTCACCAGTTGTTGTATGAACAATAGTTAATTTCTGGAAGAGGGAAAAAAACCCAATAGTTATTCCTTTTTATTGCTGAGTAGTATCTCATTATATAACCATGCCAAAATTGTTTTTTTTTTTTTTTTGTGCAGATGTTAATGGACATTTGGGTTATTTCAAGTTTGGGGCTATTACAAATAAACCTACTTAGGAACATTCATGTACAAGTCTTTGTAGGGACATATGCTTTCATTTCTCTTGGGTAAATACCTAGGATTGGAATGGCTAAAGAATATAATTAGTGCATGTTTAAACTTTTTGAGAAACTGCCAAACTGTTTTCCAAAGTGATCATACCATTTTACTTTCCTACCAACAGTTCTACATTTTTGCCAACACTTGGTGTGGTCAGTCTTTTTATTTTAGCCATTTTAGTAGGTATGTGGCATTTTATTAAATATTAATTTGCATCTCCTTAATGCTCAGTGTCTGTTCATGTGTTTTCATGCCATTCATATACATTATTTGATGAATTATCTGTTCAAATCGTGTGCCCATTAAAAAAAATGTATTATTTGTTTTGTTATTGAGTGTAGACAGTTCTCTATGTATTCTAGATTCAAGTGCTTTATCAGTTATAAGCTTTGCAAATATTTTCTTTCAGTCTGTGGTTTGTCTTTTTATTTTCTTAACAGTGATTTTCAAAGAACAGAAGGTTTAAATATTGATAAAGTCAGATTTGTCTATTTTTCTTTTTTGGATCATACTTTTGGTATCATATCTGAAAAATCTTTGCCTAACCTCGGGTTACAGAGATTTTTCTCAATATTTTCTAGATGTTTGTGGTCCATGATGCATTTTAAGGTAATGTTTGTATATGGTGCAAGATATGGGTCCAAGTTTATTCATTTACAACCAATTGTTCCAGCCACATTTATTGAAATGAATGTCTCCTCGCCACTGGATCACCATCTTTGTCAAAAATAAGTTACCCGTATATGTGTGGATCTATTTCTGGATTCTCTATTCTCTTCCATCGATTTATTTGTCCATTTTTACAATTCCACACTGTCTTGCAATCAGTTAATGTTAATACTCCAGCTTTGTTCTTTATCAAAGCTGAATTGACCCATTCTAGGTCCTTTACATTTTTGTATGAATTTTAGAATCAGCCTGTCAATTTAAACAAAAAAAGCTCACATGAATTTTTATTAAGATTGCAATTGGCGGGCAGCCCAGGTCACTCAGCAGTTTAGCACTGCCTTGAAGGTGTGATCTTGGAGACCCGGGATTGAGTCCCACGTTGGGCTCCCTGCATGGAGCCTGCTTCTCCCTCTTCCTGTGTCTCTGCCTCTGTGTGTGTGTGTGTGTGTGTGTCATGAATAAATAAATAAAATCTTAAAAAAAAAAAAGATTTCAATTGGTGGGGAGCACCTGGCTTGCTCAGTTGGTGGAGTATGTGACACTTGATCCTGGGATTGTGATTTCAAGCCCCATGTTGGGTGTAGAGATTACTAAAAAAAAAAAAAAAAAAAAAAAATTGCAGTTGGAAGAATTAACATCTTAAAAATATATTTTTAAAGATTTTATTTATTTATTCATGAAGGACAGAGAGAGAGAGAGAGTGAGGCAGAGACACAGGCACAGGGAGAAGCAGGCTCCATGCAGGGAACCCGTCATGGGACTCATCCCGGGTCTCCAGGATCAGGCCCTGGACTGAAGGTGGCGCTAAACCACTGAGCCACCCGGGCTGTCCAACATCTTAAAAATATTGATCATCCACATATAAATAAGGCATACTCCTCCATTATTTGGTTCTTCCTTCATTCTCTCAAGTGTTTTGTAGTTTCCATGTATAGGTCTTGCTCATCTTTGGTCACACTTATTTCTGAATATTTTACAGTTTTATGCTACTGTTGTTTTTTTAAAAAAGATTTTATTTATTTATTCATGAGAGATACAGAGCGAGAGGCAGAGACATAGGTAGAGGGAGAAACAGGCTCCATGCAGGGAGCCCCTTGTGGGACTCTATCCCAGGACTCTGGAATCATGACCCAAGCCAAAGACAGATGCTCAACCACTGAGCCACCCAGGCATTCTGCTACTGTTGGTTTGTATTTCAATTTCTGAATATTTGCTGTTAGTGTATAAGAATATAATTGATTTTTGTATACTTATTTTGTGTCCTTAAATCTGACTAAACTCATTTATTAATTCTAGTAGAGTTTTGTATATTGCACAAAATATTCTACACAAATGAACATGTCATCCATGAATAAAGACTTCCTTTTCAACTGAAGGTTTTTAAATTCTTCTTGTTTATTGCACTGGATAAAACCTCCAGCCAAAGAGCACCTGCATGGCTCAGTCACTTAAGTGTCTTACTCTTGAGTTTGGCTCAGGTCATGATCTCAGGGTCATGAAATCAAGCCCAACATTGGGCTACAAGCTCAATGTAGGGTCTGCTTGAGATTCTCTCTCTCCCTCTCCTTCTGCCCCTCTCCCCTGCACTCTCTCTTTCTCCAAAAGAAATAAATAAATCTTTTAAAAATACCTCCAGTACAATATTGAATCAGCATGGTGAGAGGAAACAAACTTGTCTTGTTATTGATTCTAGGGAGAAAGCATTCAGTCATTCACCATTAAGTTTGATGTTGGATGTGGATTTTTTGCAAATGCCTTTTAATAAGTTGAAGAAATTTTCTTTTTTAAAGAGATTTTATTTATTTGAGAGAGAGTGGGGGAGAGTATGAGCAGAGGGAGAAGCAGACTCCCCACTGAGTCCCATGCCAGGTATCATGTGGGGTTCCATGTGGGGCTCAGTATCCTGGGATCATGATCTGAGCTGAAGGCAGATGTTTAACCGACTGAGCCACAGAGGTGTCCTGAAGAAATTTTCTTGTATTCCCATTTGCTGAGAGTTTTTATTAGGAATGTTTGCTGGGATTTTGCCCAATGCATTTTCTGTATCTGTCAGATGAATCATATGGTTCTTCTTTTTTAGTTTGTTAAACTGATTTATTTTTTAATGATAACTTACCTTGCATTCCTGGGATATACCCTCCTTTACTGTCATGTATTATTCTTTTCATATATTGATGAATTTGATTGGCTAAAATTTTATTTATAATTTTTACATATATGTCTGTGAGGAATATTAATCTATAGTTTTCCTTTCTCATAATATCTTTGATGGCTTTGGTGTCAAGGTAATGCCAAACTCAGAATGGTTGAGAGATATTCTGCACTCTTCACTTTTCTGGAAGTTTGTATAGAATTGATATTATTCATTCCTTAAGTGTTAGGTAAGATTTACAATGGAGTTTTCTTTGTAGGATTGTTTTTAACAGTTTCAATTTCAATAGATACAGAGGTACACAGATTATCTATTTCTTCTTGACTGAGTTTTCGTAGGTTGATTCAAGGGATTTTTTTTTCCCAATTAATTTAAGCTTCCAAATTTATGGACATAAAATTAAAATATTTCCTTTCAGTATATACAGAATCTATAGTAATGTGCTCTCTTTTATTCCTGATATTAGCAATTCATGTCTTCTCTCTGTTTTTTCCTGATTAGTGTAGTTAGAAGTTTATCAATTATATTGACATTCATATAATAACAGCTTTTGATATTATTGATTTTCTCTATTGCTTTCTCTTTTTTTTCCACATTGGAATAATTTTTAATATTTAAATACAAAAAGTGAGCACTTTTTTTTAGGCAGGTCTCTCATAGCCAAAATGGGCAGAGGAAATGAGCTGCTGCTCTGTCCTCCACAGTCCCCATCCTGTGGTTGAAGCTGCTGCCCGGCCCTCCCTCCTTTCCAACATAGAAATTCAGTGGCTGCTTTACACTACAGCTGTAATGCATTATGTGTTTCATATTGTGTGCATGTCCCTCCCCAACGTCTCCATGCTTAAAAACAAAAATGGTGAGGGGTACCTCCTTCCCAGTGGCATCAATTCCTATGCCACAATGGGATAGTGAGATCCTCCGGTCATAAGTGATTTAGTGAGAAAGGGGGTGGAAGGCCAGAGCTGGAGTAACCGTCTGCATTGCTGCACTCTTGCTATGAGTGCAAGAGTGAGAACAGAAGAAATGGGACGGCGTGGAGGGCACAGTTGCAAGTTAGGAGACTCCGTGAGACACTGGGGAGAATTCTCCCCAAAAGGTTTAGATAAATCAATGTGACAAAGTTTTAAAAAAATAAAATAAAAAGGAATCCAAATAATCAGCAGTTCAAACACTATTGAATTTTCAAACTTGTCCCAAGACAAGTCAAGTAGCAGTAGCAATCTAGATTTTTCCAGGAAGTGAAGGTAGAGCCCCTGGCATTCCTCCTGAGAGCCCTGTGTTAGGCCCTAAAAGTATCCTCCTCTGCTGCAGTTGCTGCTGCTCCATTTGCAACTTCTCAGTCTCAAAGACAACAGGAAGAACCAGGATCATGAAGGAAGTGGTCCCAATCCACAAGGCTGCCCTGGAAAACCTGTACATTTTTTGAGCCACAAAGAGGGAGAGATCAAAAGTGACTCCAGCCGCGGACGGGACCCTCTCTGGGAACATCTCCGTCAGATCCCACAGTCTCTCCGACAGGGTCTCATCTAGCTCCTCTTCGTCTTCCTTCTCCAGCTCCTCTTTGGTCTTCTTGGCATCGCCTTTCGGAAGCAATTTGTCCGGGGACAGGGGCGCCCCAGGGCAGCCAGCGGCGGCGGTGGCCATGGCTGCGGGGCTCTCTATTGCTTTCTTTGGTTTTGTTGATTTCTATTCTATTATGTATTATTTCTTGTTTTCTACTTACTTTGGGTTTAATCTACTCTTTTTTCTAGTATCTTTTTTTTTTAATTTTTATTTATTTATGATAGTCACAGAGAGAGAGAGAGAGAGAGAGGCAGTGACACAGGCAGAGGGAGAAGCAGGCTCCATGCACTGGGAGCCCGACGTGGGATTCGATCCCGGGTCTCCAGGATCAGGCCCTGGGCCAAAGGCAGGCGCTAAACCGCTGCGCCACCCAGGGATCCCCTCTTTTTTTTTTTTTTTTTTTATTTATTTATGATAGTCACACAGAGAAAGAGAGAGAGGCAGAGACATAGGCAGAGGGAGAAGCAGGCTCTATGCACCGGGAGCCCGACGTGGGACTCGATCCCCAGTCTCCAGGATTGCGCCCTGGGCCAAAGGCAGGCGCCAAACCGCTGCGCCACCCAGGGATCCCCTTTTTCTAGTATCTTAAGGTGTATGTTGAGATCAATTACTTAAGATCTTTCTTCTTTTCTGATACAAGCTATTGGTACTAAAAATTCTCTCTAGTCAAAATACTTTTCAATTTTTCTGATTTCTTCTTTCCAAATGCATTATTTAGAAGTGTATTATTTAGTTACCAAATATCTGGGGATTTAAGTATTTCTGTTATTGATTTCTAATTATTTATTTTATTTTATTTATTTATTCATGAGACACACACACACACACACAGAGAGGCAGAGGGAGAAGCAGGCTCCATGCAGGGAGCCCGAGGTGGGACTCGATCCTGGGTCTCCAGGATCACGCCCTGGGCTGAAAGCGTTACTAAACTGCTGAGCCACCTGGGCTGCCCTTGATTTCTAATTAAATTGAATTGGGGACATAAAATATACTTAACAGGACATACATCATTTTAACTGTATTAAGATTTGTTCTATGGCCTAGAATATGGTTTATCTTGGTAAATGTCCCATGAGTTCTTGATAAGTGTTCATCCTGCTGTTGGTCAGAATGTACAAGGTCATTGATGATTCAAGTTGTATGCCTGTACTCATTTTCTCTCTAATTGTTCTTGTTGTGATTGAGAGGGGGGTTTTGAAATCTCCTTTTTAAAAATTTATTTATTTATTTATCTCAGTTGGTTCTATGCAGGCCCAATGCAGAACCTGAACTCACAACCCCAATATCAAAACCTGAGGGGAGATCAGTGTCAGACACTTAATCGATTGAGCTACCCAGGTACCTCTGGAATCTCTCACTCTCTCTTTTAAAGATTTATTCATCTATTTTAGAGAGAGAGAAAGAGAGATTGCAAGTGTGTGGAGAGGTGGAGAATCTTCAAACAGACTCCCCGCTGAGTGCAGATCCCAATGTGTGACTCAGTCCCCTGACCTATGAAATCACAACCTGACCCAAAACCAAGAGTCAGAGTTACAGTGGACTGAGCCACCCAGGTGCCCCCTGAAAACTTCTTTTAAATATTGCATTTGTTTATTTCTTCTTTCAATTTTACCAAATTTTGTATTATGTATTTTGGAGCTCTGTTAGTAGATGTGTAAACATTTAAGATTGTTATGTCTTCTTCATGTCATCCTTCATGCAAATAGATTTATTCAAATACACATGTTTTGCCTTCTACTTCATTCAAAAAAGAATTTGAGGCAGATACATTCATTTAGCATCCACTATGTTCAAGATACTAAAGTAGTGTTTCTCGAAAACTAAATTCTTATCACAGTTTTACAGAAATAAATACATTGTACACAGGGGCCCAATATAAACATTTATTTATACTTATATATTATATATGTACATCTAAAAATATTTCACACAAAAAATTAAATCTTACTACATGTGATGCAATCTGATATTTTCTCTTCTGTGTCATTAAAAAAATCCATACTAGTTTTAAAAAACTAAATTGATGAATGACCAAAATAATGGATTACAACTTGCAGATTGAAAAAGACTATATAAGGGGAACCCTGAGTGGTGCAGCAGTTTGGCGCCTGCCTTTGGCCCAGGGCGCGATCCTGGAGACCTGGGATCGAATCCCATGTTGGGCTCCCAATGCATGGAGCCTGCTTCTCCCTCTGCCTATGTCTCTGCCTCTCTCTCTCTCTCTCTCTCTCTGTGACTATCATAAATAAATTTAAAAAATTAAAAAAAATTTAAAAAAATAGAAAAAGACTATATAAGGATGGTAGAAATATGAAAAACACAGTTTCATGCCTTAAAGAAGCTTTCATTGTATTGGCAGAAGGCAGACATATACACTGGCAGTCAACATGATAAACTGTGATAGAACACAAGGCATTGTGGGATATTAGAGTTGATGAAGTGAACAAAATGGTTAGTTTTTCAGGTCAAGGGAATAGCAAAAGGAAAGAATTAGAGCCTAAAGTTAGAAGTGAAGAGTAATTGGGATATGAAGCTAGAAACAGATAAGAACCCAAGTCATTTAGAGCTTTGTATGAGGAATTTGGTCTTTATCCTACAGGTGATAGGAAGCTTCAAAGGATTGTTAAGTAGAGACTTGACATGATAAGATTGGTGTTTTAGAAAGATCACTCTGGTTGCATTGTGGAAGATAGTTAGAGAGGGGCAAAACTAGGGACAAGAGGACTATTTAGAAAGTTATTAAAAAAAAAAAAAAAGAAAGTTATTGCAAAGGCCCAGGTAGGAAATGATGATGACCTGAACTAAATCAGTGGAAGTGATAATAGAGGCATATTTTAGAGATTGATTGAAGGATTAATGATTTAGTAACTGACTTAATGTAGAAATAATGCTGAGGGTAAGAGATGAGAATGTGATGTAATATCTCCCATCCATTCATTTAATCATTGGATCTAAAGTAATTCTTAAAGATATTCTGTACATTAGGCACTCTACTGGGTGTTGGACATCCAGTAGTTAACAAAACAAGTGTGGTTTCTACTCTCATGAAGCTTACAGGTATTTGGGGGAGCAGACATTATGCTAATAAATGCATAAATAGATTCATAAAAATTGTGATAACTACCATGAAAGGAAGGAACACAACATGCAGAAGACTGAAACTGGACCACTCTCTCACACCAGACACAAAAAGAAATTCAAGATGAATGAAAGACCTAAATGTGAGACAGAAAACCAACCATCAAAATCTTAGAGGAGGGCAGCTGGGTGGCCCAGTGGTTGAGTGTATGCCTTTGACTTAGGGTGTGATCCCGGGGACTGGGATCGAGTCCATGCATCAGGCTCCTCAAAGGGAGCCTGCATCTCCCTCTGTCTATGTCTCTGCCTCTCTCTGTGTGTCTCTCATGAATAAATAAATAAAATGTTTTTAAAAAATCCTAGAGAAGAGCACAGGCAACAACCTCTTTGACCTTGGCTGTAGCAACTTCTTGCTAGACACACCTCCAGAGGCAAGGGAAACAAAAGCAAAAATGAACCACTGGGACTTCATCAAGACAAAAAGCTTCTGCACAGCAGAGGAAATAATCAGCAAAACTAAAAGGCAGCTGACAGAATGGGAGAAGATATTTGCAAGTGGCATATCGGATAAAGGGCTAGTATCCAAAATACATAAAGAACTTATCAAGATCAACACCCAAATAATAAAAAAATCCAGTTAAGAAATGGGCAGAAGGGGCAGCCCCAGTGGCGCAGCAGTTTAGCGCCGTCTGCAACCCGGGTTGTGATCCTGGAGACCTGGGATCGAGTCCCACGTCAGGCTCCCTGCCTGGAGCCTGCTTCTCCCTCTGCCTGTGTCTCTGCCTCTCTCTCTCTCTCTCTAAATAAATAAATAAATAAATAAATAAATAAATAAATCTTTAAAGAAAAAAGAAATGGGCAGAAGATATGACAGACATTTCTCCAAAGAAGACATACAGATGACCAACAGACACACAAAAAGATGCTCAGCATCACTCATCAGCAGGGAAATACAAATCAAAATGACAGTGAGATATCACCTCACACCTGTCAGAATGGTTAAACCAAACAGCATGGGAAACAAAGGATGTTGATGAGGAGGTGGAGAAATGCTCTTACACTGTTGGTGGGAAAGCAAACTGGTGCGGCCACTGGAAAACAGTATGGAGGTTCCTCAAAAAGTTAAAAACAGAACTACTGTATGACCCAGCAATTGCACTACTAGATATTTACCCCAAAGATAAAGAAATAATGATTTGAAGGGGCACATGCACCCCAATGTTCATAGCAGCACTGTCTGTAATAGCCAAAATGAAAATTGCCCAGATGTCCATCAACTGATGAATGAATAAAGAAGATGTGGTACACACACACACACACACACACACACACACACACGGAATATTACTCAGCCACCAAAAAGAATGAAATCTTGCCACTTGCAATGACATGGTTGGAGTTAGAGTGTATTATGCTAAGTGAAATAAGTCAGAGAAAGATAAATACCATATGATTTCACTCCTATGGTAGAATTTAAGAAACGAAACAGGGGAAAAGAAGGAAAAATGAAAGGAAATAAAAACAGGGAGGCAAACTGTAAGAGACTCTTAACTATAGGGGACAAACTAAGGGTTGCTGGAGGGTGGTGGATGGGGGCAAGGAGTAAATAGTTTATGGGCATGAAGGAGGCCACTTGATGTAATGAGCACTGGGTATTATATGCAAGTGATGAATCACTAAATTCTGCCCATGAAATTAATTCTACACTCTATGTTAACTAATTTGAAATTAAATAAAGCCTTGAAGAAATAAAAAAATATGGTAAATGTTATGTTGTATATATTCTACCACAATTAAAAAAAAAAGTAGAAAAAAGTGCTTGTGAAGCAATCTGAGCGCAGAATGCTAGATACCTAGGATTTTCCCCAATCTTTTCTTTTTTGCCCTAGTCTAGTGGAATTTTCTTTTTTTTTTAAGAGAAAGAGCAAGGGGCAGCCCAGGTGGCTCAGTGACTTAGCACCTCCTCCGGCCCAGGGCCTGATCCTGGAGACCCGGAATCGGGT